ATTTTTTATTTTTGTTTCTCTTTATCCCGTCATTTTGTTCCTATTTGAAATTGATGTTGTTATTTTTTTACAAAAAATACGTTCTTATTAATTTTGATTTCGAATTTTGTTTCTACTTTGTTGTGGAAGAAGAAGGGGTTGTGTATGCGTCTCCATTTTTATGGCAAGGAGATGTGGATGATAGCCTTCGTTTTTTCCAGCAAAAAAATATGGATGGCGGTATCCATTTTTTTCGGCAAAAAATATGTCAAGATATAATTTTAAATCTGAAAAATTAGAACAGTGAAAAGAAAAAATATGATAAAACAACATATTTAGGCTTGGAATGTAAGGAATAAACTGATGTTTGGATTTATTATTGCCTTGGAATTCTTATGTTAATGGTGGATTGTTATGAAAAAATAGGAGCAGCAGGGTGGCGCAATTTTGAAAAGAAGGATTTGAAAAGATTGTTATTTTTTAAAATAAATAATGAGAAAAAAAGTTTGAAAATTGTTGATTAAATGATTCATGCGCTCATTAAGGCGTGAATCTCACTTTTTTGTCACATGTGCACAACGTGTTTAAATGGTTCAAATTCAGAACAGTCCAAGTGTTCAATAGGTATAAGTCCTAGTTAAAGTGTTTAAGTGAAATATGTGGACAACTTTAAGGGGCCGTCTATGACTTAAGCCTATATATATATATATATATATATATATATATATATATGGCCTAAGTCATCTCCAGCCACTCAAAGTTGTCCGCATAATTCATATAGACACCTCAACTAATCCTTATGCCAATTGAACACTTTATTTGTTCAAAAGTCATTCCTATTAGGCACAAAATGCTGACATGGCAAAAAAACGTGTAATTCACTTTCCTTGAGCGCGTTAATTTATTAAAAATAATAATTTTCTTTTTTTCTCTCTTAATTTATACCCCTAAGTTAATTTTTTTAAAAAAAAAATAACAAAAAAGAAGAAGAACAATTGTCTTCTTCTTCTTCCCTATTTTTATCAACCCCACCACCCCACCCCAACCCCCATACCCATACAACAGTGGTTATCTTCTTCCCCCATCATTCTAATGATTTCAAAATTCTTAGTATCAGTAGTTATCTTCTTCCTCCACCATTCTAATGGTTTCAAAATTCTTAGCATTTTGTTTCATTTATAAATTTTTCGAAGAGATTCTTTTTCCCATCTTTCTCTACCTAAAAAAACGAGATGAAGTAAAAAGTTATAATTAATAAAAGCTGATGAAAAACAAAATTGTCGGG